ATTTTGAACTTCAAAAATAAAATATTATAAAAAATAAAAAATATATATTATATTTAACATTTTAAAAAAATTTAAGGGGCAGTTTAGAAAAAATTTCGTTAATAAGTTAACGGGATATTTATGAAGTAGATCATTTTAAAATAAAATTAATAGTTTAAAAGCATTTTAAAAAAACATTTTTAAATTAAATTAAAATAAGTCATATAATTATTAGAGTATTTATTACATTTAACCCTATTCAAACTGAAAAGGTCAAAAAAAGTAATCGGAACTATCGGTACAGTTTTCGCCTTCATCTTTAAGTTAAGACAGGTGTGCAACACGCCACAAAAATTAAAGCTCAGAAGAAAATCACTGGGAAGAAAGAAATATTCGCAACAGGAAAATCAGAAGGAAGAAGGAAAATGGCGTTGCAGTGGATGATACTGACGTACGTGGTGGCAGCGGAGGCGGCACTGGCGCTCCTCGTCACTCTCCCCTCGCCCAAGCTCGTCAAGAAGCGTCTCGTCTCGCTCGTTTCTCTCATCCTCCAACCAGCACTCTTTGTCGTTCCCTTTGCCGGATTCCAGCTATTAGGTTTCGAAGCTTTTTCCTTTCTCTTGGTTTTCTAGGATTTTGTTTTCTTTATTACGCTGGTTTTGTGATTCGATTTTGTGGTTGATCTGTCCAGATATCTACTGGAAAAATGAGCATCGCTTGGTGTGTACTTCTGAGATCTGCTCTGCTGCTGAGAGAGATCGATATGAGAAATCTGTAAGTGTTGACGTTTGCTACTCGCTGATTTTTTTTTTTTTTTTAATTCTAAAGTTATAGATGTGTGGTTGTTGAGATTGATTAGATGGCGGTAAATTTGGTGATCCTTCTTTTCTTTTAAAGAATTCCTGCGCAGGTTCTCTAATGGAAGTTCTGTGAATTATAGGGATTTAGTAGCATTTCCAGCCTAATTTAGAAATTGATTTGCGAATAGAGGTCCTTAAAAGAATAGAGGTCTTTAAAAGAACAATAATATAGGAATTCCTCCACATTTGTTCAAATTAATGAAATTTGGCAGACTTAAAGAATGCTGATTTGAGGTTAAATATTTGTTCATGTTTGCTAGAGCCTTAATGGTGGAAGTCAAAACCTAAATTTCCTTGAGCAAAGTTCATTGCTCATGGGGACAGCATAAAAGCATTGTGTACTGTATTGTACCTATACCTAATGGATATTAGGAATGGAACTCCTGATATAAGCAAATTCTAAAATAAGTTTATGATTTATTTGAATTGCTGTATTAGCTCGATGAATACATGAATCCCTGCCATCAACGGAATTATTTATTCATTTATGAGCTGCATCTTGTAATGTGGTGGTGCATTTATCAAACTGCATAATAAATCTATAATGATCCTTTCTGGGATAGCTTGCAAGTTCTAATTTTAATTAAACGACTGTATTTTTAACTCCCTCAGGTGATTTAAGGTATGAACTATTAAATGAGCTCTCAGATCATGTGCATAGGTGATGTGACCAATTATTATCTGCCTAATTTTTTCAGTTGAAAAGATTAAAAAGTTATTTTAAGTTCTCTGTGCATGATATTTATGTATAAGCAAATGTACTGACCTATGCCAGTATGTGTAAGTACTAAGTAGTGAAGGTGACATTCCTGGCTTACTAGTTTCTTACTCTTGAACCTAATGACAAACATATAAATAATGTTTGGTTTCTCCTCTTGGTTCCTTTCCTGTTTTTGATTTTTACAATGAGCTACTTATGATGTGCACAAGTCTTTAGGATTTTTCCAGGCTCAGAATAGTCTTTATTCTTGGATTACTTGTGTGTGAATCTGAGTGGTGAGAGTCTGACTGCACATTATCAGCCTCTCCATTATATTTCTGTTTGATATGTGCCCTAACAATGTACAGACATATCATATCAGTTTTTCAGTCTAAAAGGCTTATCCTTTATGTTGCTTGCTTAAGTTTTAGAGAACCATCATTTATATTCTTTAATGTTTTGTCAATGTTTCCTAAATTAGTTTCAAAATGTGCTCCTGTTTGAGTTGTTACATACTTGACTTGGAAAAAAGTCCTGCATTTTTTATGGGTACAAAAGGGAAAATGTCTTACCCCTGACATTTACTATATAGTCCAAATCCAAGCTTTTATTAATTATTTAATTCTATGGAATTTTTGAGAATTTAGAGCTACTGCTGTAGACACTATGTTCACCATCACAGTGGCTCCACTAGGGGCAGGGGTTAACTAGCAGTATGACAGTGTTGTTTTTGTTACCATTCTGAAGGGTGTTTTATTCTTGATCTTGTTTCCTGATTTGTCAAAAGATTTATAGCCACGAATTGGCAATAATCTAAATTGGTTACCCTTAACGTTCCTTGTGCCTTGGAAAGTAGAGAGTAATTATGAGAAACAATTCCCCTCTATTTCTATTATAAAGGAGACAAAAAGAAAATTCCCAAACAAGTGAAGTGAACTAAAAGTATGCTTTTTGTTTTGTTGTATGAGGTATGCTAATTTTATAACCTTTTTGCTTCTGAAGTTGTAAAGTCTTTTTGTAAAACAAGATTCCTCTCTTGTTATGTAGAGTTTTATCTTTTCCTATATGTGAAACTTGTAGAAGGGAAGCTGAAACTGAGAAGTTTATTCTACGGTCTAGTATATAAAAAAATGTTTCAATCATTTGTGATCCGTAGTTTCTTTTACTTGCTACTGTTATATTTAGTTTATTATTGTTTACATTATATTCATTCATTGATTGTTTTGTACTTGTTTCATTTGCCTCTTTGAAACATGAATGAGGTAGAGTTTTGAAGTTATACATATGTTGTTTTTCTTAATGCTTGGTGGCAACAAAATCTATTTAGTAATATTTAGTATCTGGGATAAACATGAAGTTGGGACAACTATTTATAGTGGGGAAAACTTTGATATTACTTCTTCCAACCATCTATTACTGCTAATTGGTTTGAAAGGGGGAAAGTTGTTTGACCTTAGACTAATAATAGAGAACCTTTGACCATGGATATATATTTTCTTTGATAACCTGGTTATTTGGACCATTGGCCCAATTAGTTCTATAGGCACTTGCAAACTACATTGTCCAAAAGCACCCCACAAAACTCCACCACCCAGGTTGTGGTATGGCCCACTGAAATTGTTTTACTGAAATAGTGATAGAGGGATTTAAACCTACCTTTCCAGCATGGTTCATGTCCCTCTTTACCATTCGGCCAACCCTAACTGTAGAGTAGTAGACCCTATCAAATGGGTGTGTTGGGTTGGGGTCAGGTCATTCTGACCTCACACAGGTCAATAGGTCTTACCTGTGTTTTAAGTGGGAATAGTTGGAGTGGGTTGGTAAGTTGAATCAACTTTTGTGGTTTTGCCCTTTCTGCCAATGGATTTTGAGTCTTTTGTCCATGGATATTTTTAGTGCTTTGGTCTCTCTTTGCTCCTTAAATCTGTACTGTTTAGCTTTCTTTCATTCTAATTGCAAACAAACCCATATAGAGAAGCTTTATAATGTGTTTCATTTTTTAAAATCAGTATGGAGCATTTCATTACTGGTTATGGGATAAACCTTTTTATAGAGAAATAAAATTCCGATTTTTAAAATTTTCTGTTTTGGTTGCTTATTACTTCAGCATATGACTCAACAGTAACTGCGATTCTTTTCAGTTCTTCAAAGCTCAAAGAAATGTCATTTTGTGCGCTATTGCCTGCCTTCTTTACTGGTTGGTGACTCGCACTTCCAGAGCTCTCTACTTTTAACGTACTTTATGTATGTATGGTAAAATAAATTATGGTTATGATGTTTGTGCAGGTGCATCTACCGCATCTGTAAGTATAACAAGGACCTTGAGAGTTTAGAAGAACTTGAAAAGAGATACAAGGAGGAGTAGGGTTCCATTTTACTTTGGCATTGCGTGGAGACGATGGATTGCCTCGTATCTTATGTTCTGAATCAGACGAATGTGGTTCTAAATTCTAGTATTAGTTCGTGTTTGTTGTTCTATGAAGGGATTTAAAGAAAGATGAACGAAGATAGTTAATGTAAGAGAACATAGAGAGGAGACATTGATAAATGATAACGTTTTACCACAAAAAACGCCCCGCGAGCACACAGTAGATGGACGGATTCTATGCAATATGCTTATTTTGGTGTAGTAAAACTAGTCCTGGAAGTTGTAAATGACCAATATTTGTTCCTTTTAGCGCGGCTCCATTGCAATAAGCTCAATTCCCCTGAAGGATGTTTGCAGAAATACTGTTTGGTTAATTGGCTAGCTAACTGAAAATGATTGTCAGAGCCCATAACTTGAAACTTGTTTGGGTGGGGGAAGGGTTATTTCTTGGTAAAATCTTAAAAGGTAAATTGTTTGCATAGAAATTTCAACAATTTCTTCTAATAAAGGTTTGGACGAATAGGATAAATAAGAATACTGGTTGATATCCTGGGCAATGCTCGACCCATGAAACGTAAAAAAGAAAAATATATATTTAAAAATTTAATATAAAACTGGCATATCAAAAAAATTAATAAGATTGAATTAGTACCAAAATATATGCATAATGATTTAAAAAATTAAAATCCAAAATGTGCCATGATTATGTGTACCAAAAATAAGTATTAAGGTGACAAATATATTCCTTAATTAAATAATAGATTGTTTCAAAATTTTGAGCATATCTTTGATTAAATAAAATTTGTTAAATTAAATTCATATATTTTTTTAAGTAATGAAAATGTCTTTTAAATGATGAGTTTATTAATTAACATAATCTATACTATAACTTAAAATTTTTAGTTATTTGTTTGTACTAAATATAATATTTATTAATAAT